GAAATATTTTTTACTACTTTTACAGATCTTTAGTTAATTAAATAGCTTTGCCTTAAGTCTTAAAAAAAATGTGAACTATCTTTGATTTGATACAATAAAAAAAAAAAAGACTACATTAGAAAAGACTGAAATGGAATAAACAGCATACGTTATTCAAGGTTTTAAATCTGTCATTGAACATTCGTCTTGCAAAGTTTTGGAAATGCAAATCAAATTAGACTTTCAAGTATCATTTCGTAATAGAGCATTGCAGGTAAACACAGATATTTGGTTCAAGTCCAAATGATGTTCATATTTCCAAACAGAAAAATCAACAGTGTGTTCGGATTATACCATATATATATTGAATGAATGAACAAAAGACCTGGAACTGGAAAATAAGATTGATGTAGCATTATAGATGATGAAACTTAGAGAACCCAGTTACCTCCTATTTCGTCCATGATTCTCTCTACTTTCTGCAGCATATCTGGATAATGAAGAAACCACTTGTTAATTAGATGGTAGATTTCGGAAATCTTTTATGTGCTGTTGAAGCTGAAATGCACAGTTTGAATCTAAATGGGTTAATATATATTGTTAATTTGTGTGTTGAGTATTGGAGAGAAAAGCTCACCTTGAAACGCAGAATCTTCCATGTACTTCTGCCAAAAAAATAAAAAAATTGGAGTCCCAAATCAGAAGAATCATTAGAAATGCGTTCTTGTGTTTATAAAAACTCGGGTTTTCTTAGACTGTACCAGTATCTGTGACTTCAGATCAGGATCCTGCTTTACACTTGTTTGGCCTGCAGCTGAAGCTAGTTTCATGGAGAGTATAAAATGTGTTAAAAATGTATGAAAGAAAGCGATATTTCTCAAACTTAGAACAAGCGAGATCGGTGTGGGTGTTACCTAGAGTGGAGTTAGGGAAACAACCAGAGAGTAAGGTGGTGAAACTCGGAGGGAGATTAATGGGAGTCTCGTTAGAGATTTGACTTAGCGCAGATTGTGGTTGGTAGGAGGTTTGTACAGTTTCATACTCAAGTCTTGGTACCATTTCAGGAACATAACTACCAAGAGGTTCAACCATATTTGCTTCTTCAACAGTAGCTCTGCAAAAGGGGATTTACCATTATCTAAACTGTTGACTCAAGCACCTGTTTAAATTCACAACAGTCTAAATGTGGTGGGTATAAGGTTTGTCCAGTTTCATACTCAAGTCTTGGTAGCATTTCAGGATCATAACTATCAAGAGGTGTAACCATATTTGGTTCTTCCACATTAGCTCTGCAAAAGAGGATTTACCATTATCACTGTTGGRRRAAGCACTATTACAAATTCACAACACTCTAAATGTGGTGGGTATAAGGTTTGCCCAGTTTCATACTCAAGTCTTGGTAGCATTTCAGGATCATAACTATCAAGAGGTTTAACCATATTTGGTTCTTCCACATTGGCTCTGCATAAGAGGATTTACCATTATCTAAAACGTTGGCTCAAGCACTTGTACAAAAGCCACAACACTCTGAATGTGATCTAACCTGGGGTAAATCTCAGTAGAAGTATTGTTGTAATCTGACTGGAAAGAAATCTCAGACCTAATATCACTTCTCTGGATCCTACATTCCTCTAAACCCTTGAACTTCTCCTGAAAACAGAACAAAACAGCAATCATTGGATCTGATTAACATGTCAGAGTAATGAAAAATTCATCTCCATCTGATCAAACATGTAAGGAAGCTCGTTTTGCAGTAATGGCTAACCTTAAGAGCTACAACAAATGTCTCCGCTGCATCACATGTGGAAAACCTTAAAGCGAATTTTTGGATCTGGAGAAGAACAACAACCACACTAATAATAAACCACATGATTTCGATCGCAAAATCTGAAGTATCTAACTCATGGATAGCTATCAAATTCTTCTTAGGATAACACTATTAAGAAGAATTCGAGTGTTAAAGAACTTGCCTCGTTTTCAGAATCCTTGTAGCTAACGAGAATTGCTCGACTACCACGAGGTGGGAACCCAGAAACGCAAGTCATCTGAGGCCAAGAGAAATTCAGATTCGAAATGTAGTGTTCCTCCTGTAGAATTTGAGATTTTCCCCAAACATTCGAAGAACAATCAAACACAAATCAGCCACTAAAATCTTCAATCAAACATGGATAGATTCCGATTACGAATCCGATTAAGCTTCAAAACCATCGCGAACACCAATCTAAACAAAAATCAGGAGTATACGTAGCAGCGAATCCGATCTAACACCATAC